TGAGGGAGTAGAGTAGTTGGCTGGACCTAAGTAGGGATCACTTCATGTTAATGGACATTCCCTGCCGTGTGCCCGGTCCCCACTGTCTGGCATCTGTACCCCTCACATGTGTGTGCTTCAGTGATCGATGGCATCTGCTTGGCCCCGAAGAGCGTTTGCATTTGATGTATGTTACACTTACAGGATCTTAGAGCAGCACATCTTTAGAAACCCACGCTTTTCATCCTAGAAGCTCAGAATCTGACATTTATCCAGTCTTTGAACTGAGACTGTCATACCCACTATAGCACAGCATCAGCAAATCTCAGAATTGTCGAAGCAGAAATGCACAGGTCATTAAAACAACACGGATGGATTTTATTGCCTGGGGCAGCATGCTTAAGCCCTTTTCTGCCTTAAGAGAGGGACTTTCTAAGCACAGATGTAGAGAATTACCAGTCGTCAGCAAAAATTCCTAAGGAGCAGGAGAGACTGGGAGTCAGGAGGCTGGGTCTGCTGCCAGCGGGGCCGTTCACTTCCTAGGGGCCCAGTCAGGGTCTGAAAACCAAAGGGGAATTGGTCACACAGGCGTTAGAGGGCTGGAAGCATAAACATGGAAAAGTGAGGTAACCGAGAAATTAGTGTCTGCAAGAAGCTTCTACCTCTAGGACTGGCATACAGAAAGAGAAGGGAGATGAACAGAGCCCAGCGGGAGCCTGGAGGGCAGGCCACGTGTGGTTGGTGCAGGAACCGGTGACGAGGGGGCATGGTACCTCGCGTGAGAGTACAGAAAGGTACTGGAGCCCAGAGCAATGTGAAGCCTTCCTTCCGCCCATACCTCTCATGGGCAGAACTTCAGGAAGCCAGCTCTCTACAGCAGGCTGGAGGCCAAGAGGCACTGGGTAAACACACAGTCAAGGAATATTTCTGAGCCTCCATGGTAAGCGCTGTCCCAGGTGCTAGGGATGAAGCAGGGGGGAAGACACGATGCTTGCCCTTGGGAGCTTGGATTCATTCCAGCATAAGGACACAGATAATGAAATAAACAAAAGTGCGATAATTCCAGGTGTGGAAGAATGCC